CTTTATAGTGAGGCTGCAGCGCACCTCTGGTCAATACCTGACCAATTCCTCTCAGTTCTCTCTCACTATTACAATACCTATTTCCATGGACAAACTCAATACAATCTTTCTTTCTGCTCAGGGCAACACTGTAGCTACTGGCTAATATCAAGTTAATTTGTTGATTTGGGCGAGCTGAGCAGAAAGAATGATCTTTCTGCCAGGTTGCTCTGAAATCTGGATTCTGAGAATGCCAGTTTCCTTAAAATTCTACGACGGTGCGGTCTTTTTCTTATCCGGGTCCGCTAAATATCTAGACCGGCCAACAGATTTACACACACTTAGCCTAAGTGAAAATTTGTGAGGGACAAATCACCGTACCGGTACCCCCAGCTACTACTAGCTAGTAGTCCTCTATTCCGTTATTCCGATTACAACATGCACGTACAAGCCTTAAGATACTTGTACTGTCCGCAACTCTGTACTCTAGCTATTAACCATTACCGGTAGCTACTCAGTACAATGTCACGGAGAGCCCCTGAAACGCACGCGGTTGTATTATACGTATAACATTTTCACTATGTATTCTACAGATCATACGAATTACACATATAACCTTTTTAATATGTATTAGACAAGTCATACGTACAACACAAGTAACACAGGTGGAAAAATATTATACGTATTACATGTATTCTGTGTTGTACGTGTTATACGTATAATACATAGTGACGAATTTTTGCTAAGTTTTTTTGCCAGGTGTTTTGCTAGGTGTTTGGGAGGCAGAGAGGAAGATGCACTGTTGCAGGCCATAATACCTGACAGCTTATCAAGTAAAATGGACTCTTACCTATCTGAACTCTCCCATGTTGCTAGATACAATATCAATGATGAAGAATGGACTCCTGCTTCAATCATTGCGAATGTAGCAACCTCACTAGCTAACTGATGATACACCAAAGGAGATAAACATTATGGATACTCTGGGATTCGATAATTATCGAATGGAGAAATCGACGGTGTATCATTGGCTACCTTCGATGTATCAATCTTGTGATTCGGCGCATATCAAAGAAGTTTTGATGCCATACTTTGTACTTTCTTGCAAGACTAAGCCTTTACACTAGCGGAACAATGCCTAAAGAACATCTCTCGCCAAGTGTTGTTAAGACTTTACTTTATGAACGGACAGCTCATCTCTAACTTCGAAACAAATCGAATCTCTAAGGAAGAGTCTGCTTCTATATTATTATTTATTTAAGCTTATCGAACGAGGGGTGTTTCGTTAAACATTTATTTCAAGAGAAAGTGGTAAAAACAATGGTCATCTGATCTTTGAAGCACTGAACTTACTTAGTAAAAGAACCCACAGAAGAAGAACAGCTTCCCGATCACTGCGTTCACCTTGAGTTTAAGATATCAATGACCGATGGCTCATACAGTACGTACGTACGTACGTACGTACCACCTCGTACGGTAGTCTACCTTCATTGCACTGATGCCTGCGATTGCAAAGAATCAAGAGAATGGGCCGAAAAGGGGTGAAGGCAGAATTGATTGGCTAATAAAGCTATACATCAGCAAATACGTCAGGAAAGATTCAAATATACTTAACGTACCATTTATAGATATTACGGAGTTAATGTGCTGCCAAGTTCGAAATTTCGTTGTTGTTTTCGTTCGAAAAGAAAGATTCCATCGGAGCCTGTCGATCGACAATGATGGCTTCGCTCAGTCAGTAGGTCATTTCGCTGCCAACGAAGCAAGCAAAAGAGCACCATGGAGCAACCACAGCAGCAGCAGTAGAAGCAGCAGCAACAACAACAACACAAAATGAAGGGAATGGGCGCCAGAGCAGAATCGAAATCCACAACAGAAGAGAGCATTCCAACTCGCCACCAACAACAACCCAGATCATCAAAGAGAGCGAGAGAAGAAGGAGCCCAAACAGCACTGGAAGGAGGGATAGCAGAAGTCTTTGATCCACTCAGACACTGTCAGGTCTGTAGGCCAGACATTTGGTTTCAGAGTCCCCAAGAGATCACACTCTTCTTCTGTATTAAGAATACAATAACAAAAGGACAAGGACCTTGAATGCGCTGACAATGGAGACAATCAAAGAAAGCAGAAGACTCACAAGGCAATTCAGTGCTCCTCTTCCACTGAATGAGAGAGAAGCTGGAGGCATTCCACAAGAGAAAATGGAGAAGCTTTCTTTGCTCCCAGAACAAATACAGCCAGAGCCACAGCCAATGAAATTCGACCAAAGTACAAGGCAATGGCAACTCCAGCTGTGTTCTGCGAGAAAGTCACACGCTCTTGTAGAGGATGCCACTTTTGTGGAGAAGCACAAGACCAAAATAGCTCCCCTGGCAATCATAGCTATGGCAGAAGCAGTGTCTGAGTCGATCACCAGATCCAAGAACAAGAGCTTTTCAATCAACACTTCGAAGGACTCACCATGACAGTCCAGCCACAAAGGATCAATTCGAGTCTCCCCACTATCACTCATTGTTGGGCAGAAACTCCTCCTAGTGGACTGATCGATGTGGCATTGCTGTACCTTGTCCTGATGGTAATGCTCTGGCCAACTCAAGAATGAAGAAGCAAATGGTCAGGAACAAGACTCTGTTTCCTATCTTCGGCATTGCTGGACCTCCATCTTGGTGCATGGTGATGTCTATGGTCTGTCACTGCTGCAAAAGGAGATTCGATTCCAACCAAGCAGAGGTCCTGGTGTCCATCCCAGAGCATGCTTCCTTGCTGTATCCAGTGGAATCAAAGTATGCCTTTGCTAAGAAGGACTATCACGTAGACAGAACAGCAACTGAAGTGTTTGCGTCTATAATGGTTACATATGGTAATGGTGACCTCTGCAGTCGGCTCCTCTACAACGCAATGAACAGAGAGTATCTGAGAGCCATGATGTCATACTTTTCATATTGGCAAGGAAGTGAGAGGGATCCTCCACCATTCCTTCCAAAGGATGGGACTTACATCAGGCAATACCCTCCTCTTGGTGACACATCCGTGACTTCTTCGATAAGGCTGCTGCATCCAACAGGAACCCATGGAGGATCAGTGACAACACGAGGCACACTAGAGAGATTCAAAGTGTCAGTTGCAACAAGGGTATCTTCTGCCAAGACCATACCTTCCAGCCAGTCAAGAACTACATGAAGAGAGAGGTTGGAGCAGTCGCTGTTTGGGATGCTTCCACGAGAACTGGAGAGATAGCTTCGTGCGTGCTGGTTCCTACACCAAGACCATCCACTTCTCCCATGCAGCCATGCAACTAGCAAGGAGAGCCACTTCAATCCGTTGCCATGTACAGCGATACCTGGCCCAACAAGGACAACTTTTGGGAGGAGATTTTTCCAGGTATCGATGGAAGACTTGGCCTGTTCCATTATGAGAAGAGAATACTGTCAACTTTGAGAAAGGGACACATTGATCACTTCGAAGCTGAATGCTCTCTTGGATTGCCTCTATGAGTACTTACCAGAAGACTTTGAGAAGGTTCTCTATGCTCTAAACATGGTCTACTATCAGCTGATGGCAAACACTATTCCATGGTGGAGATATCAGACATGCAAGCCTCCAAGGTCTTCCGTCAAAGATACTCCAAGTTCCTAAGGAAAAGATGAGAGAACCCAGACAATGAAGCAGAAGGTTGCAACAGTGGTTCTGCAGATACAAGGTCACTGCTAGTGAGGGCAGCCAACCTGGACAAGGACGACTCGATCCAGTCAAGAACTTTACCTTGTTCACTCCAGACACCAAACAGCAGTAGACAACTGCATCAAGAAAGACATTCACTTGGCTGATCCACTACCAATGGAGCAAATGTATGACACAATCCAACCTTCTCCAACCTCCAAGCACAATCTTCCAGAAGTACCTTCAAGGGTCGAGTAGGGCTTTACTAGACAAGTTGCGAAACTTTGGCAAATGAGCATCACGTATATCGTGATCCGTGGACGCAGCGTGCTCTGATAGGTGCCTTGATATTAATCTCTCTCTTCTTT